GTCAAAATACATCACAATGCTTTCCTATGGTCTTTCTTGTGCTTAATTCACACTGCAATGGTGTGAATTAAGCACAAGAAAGCCCATAGGAAAGCATTGTGATGTATTTTGACTGCAGCAGTCAAATAAACGGACTGCATCACAACTGCATATGGTGTGAACTGGCCCTCAGTGTCAATCAGCTAAATATATTCCAGGTGCTTCAAAACTAAAGGAGTACAATGTTAGTTAGTGAGCCTAGAGGTGCCCATACACTGTACGATTCTCGTACGAGAATCGCGGGAAATCCCGCGATCGTATAACTAGAAAAGGCTATTCCCTGCCAGCAGCTGCAGAGAAGGACCTATGTTCTCTGAGGGAAACAGTAGTCTCTCTGCAGTGGTCCAACACCCCCCCCCTACTAAGTCAGACCTATAGCTCTGCAATCAGCCAAGCTTATGCTCCCCAATGATTGGAGAGCTCTGGATCTGACTCAGCACAGGTCATGTCTGACATATCTCTGCTTCCATACAGAGAGCAAGGGTCCCACTCTATAGCATGCCGGCAGGGGACAGGCTTTTGTGCTCAGTTTGCGGCTTCTTTTTAAACAAACTGTAAGCCTTTGCACTCCTTTTGTATTGATACACCTGAAATGTATCTAGCCGATTAAGGTCAATTGGGCTTTAAACTGTCCATCCGGGTCCTGCAGCATGAGCTGTTTTTACATCTACAACAATTCGCTCGCAGAGCAGCAATATCTATCACTGGTATGCCAGATAATATCTATGATCAGTGAGGTGCTTCTTCTCCTGGAAATAAGGAATAAAAAGAAGTCACAACACTTGAGTGAGTCGCTGTATTTGCAGAATTAAAAACAAGTACTGTATATGGTGGAGTTCAGTCCCAGAGAGTGACAGAAGGAAAACCAATACGCTGCAGGATGGAGAACTTGGGTACATTTACAAAAATCCATTGAAATCTGGCAAATCACAAAGAAGTGGAAGAAGGAAATACTAGCAGAAATGTAACATTAAAAAGATTAAACAATTTCCTTGGTATTTTCCAGCACATCTATTGTTGGATTATAAATCAATATAAAAGTAAAAATATGACTGTACTTGAAGAAACATACGTGAGCATAGTAAAGTGCACCTGTTACCTCTGTTCAGTAAAGAAGCTACTGTTCTAAGGTGAACCAAAATTCCTTACATTGTGGCAATAATAAACATTATTATTATTATAATGGCAAGTATACATTAAAAGGGTATTCTAAAGGGTGTGTTTATAAACAATTCGCGGAGTCGTTCGCCCTGCGAAATGCAAGTACATTCATTTTGTATGACTGGAGGTAAAAACAAATGTTTTTAGCACATTTCCTTTCAAGATCAAATGTGATTCAATGCAAATACAGCATTATGGCCAATAGATGGAGGCAAGTAGCAAAGGGAATGAAATACTTCTTTCCTAAAATCCTCAGCTTCATCTAGTGGCCATATTGTTTATAAATACACCCCATTTAAGAGCACTCTGTAATAATCTTAATAGGTCCCCTCTAAGTCAAAGTAGAACCCACATCCTTGGTAAAAGAATGAAGATGGTCCTGTATACTAATGTGAAAGTTGGTGGGGCTTCAACCAGACGTAGACAACGGTGGGGTCCTAACAGGGAAAACCACTGCATGACTAGAAAACATAGTGAACAAACAAAAGGATCAGGAAATAGTGGCAAGAGTACCCGTCCTGCCCATTCAGATACAAAGCCACTCAGGGTGCCAGAACATTTCACCTGCAGTTGAAAGCTTGAGTGGCTTCTGATTCCAAGATTATGTGGTGGGCTTCAGGAGGCTGTTGCCTCTCTATGATGCAACACAATGCGGTCACAAGCAGACATCCACTTTTAGCTCACAGTAGAAAACCCTTTTGAAAAGGTCGACTTAACATGACTGTCCAAAAATGTCTTCTAGCAGCAACAGGCCATGTAACACTATACAACGTGGCATTGCGTTTATACTTCAAAAGATGATCAAAAAAGATATTTTAGCAAGTGTATAAGAAGCTGTCAGAAGAACAGACACACTGAGATATACTATATTCAAATCCTAAATGAGCATGTTTTACCAGTCCCCTGAAAGAAAAATAGACTTAACCATTATCTTTATATTATTTTATTATATATTCTATTTCTCTACCTATTTATACCTATTATAGAATCCTTCTACAGCAATGAGCCAGCATAGCCCAAATCTTTCTCGAGTTATGCTTTCTGTCAAAGCAATGATGGCCAATGACCATAATAAAAGAAGCCTCTTGTATAATCTATTGATAAATCTTTGTTCATAAATAAAATATGAACATTCATATAAGAGAACTGACCCCGGTAAGTCAATGTTTAATAGAAGGGGCTGTACATCTATATGACCTACGCCATATTGGTGAATTGGAATAATATGATCTTGACCAACTGCATTAAAATCTTACCATTGCTTAATAAAAACAAGGCATCCAGCTGTCTAATTTGCATTGGATATCAAACAGTTAAGCCCTTAAACATGGTTAACACCTGAAAAACTAGACAATTACTATACGTGTCATTTGAGCAAGAGACCGGATGTTAACCAGGACAAAGCATAGATGTTAACCAGCTCACAAGTGCATGCTTTTTTTGGTGTTTTACGTTTATAGCATACAGACATTAAATATTCGGAGCCTCTACACATAATAATATACATCTTGCAGGCAGCAAGCCCTTCACGAAAGGAAAACAGCTCGAAAAAAGCTCCACTTATTCTTGTAAAGTCAACATTGCCCATGAAAGGTCTTTATGAGGTTGATTAAAATATGAAGCAGAACTATGATTTTATTACCCGTTTTCCCCCAAACTAATGGCTAGATTAAGGACATTCAAATATTAACTGTGAGTAAATTAGCTTTACAACTAGCCGTCACTAATCTCTGTAGCTGCAGACACTACGGAAGCAATTCATCCCCAAAGTTCACAACAGAAGCAGTGACATTGTCCAAATTGTTCTCTCAGCAGCTTCGCTCACTCTGCTTCTCTCCCAGATCTCTAGTTTCGCATTTAAATGAGAGATTAGAAGGCTGCCGAGTCATTGCTGGGAGAAGGAAGCAGGCGGAGCTGAGGTACTGAGAGAAACATTTGGAGAACTTCAATGATCCTGCTGTAAATTTTGAGAATGAATTGCTCCACAGTTTCTGCAGCTATGTATGTCAGTGAAGGCTTGTTTGAAGGCTCATTTACTGCTTGGAAATACTTGAATATACAATGCCTGATCACCAGCTCACTTATATAGTGCAGCCAACCATGATGGTCATTAAACCAGCAGAGTCAAATAAAATCATTGGCATACTTATAATGACCTGCAACAAGTAGAAAATAGCATGCTTCAAAACGGTGGGAGGGAAGGGCCAAAATGGAACTTGTATGTTCCAGGCTTATCAGGTTTTGGTGATTTTTAAAGTCAGAAGCCATGTGTGAAGTTTAAGCCCATCCCAGGATGATGTGAAAGGTGCAGCAGTCTGCCTCTTGTTTTATTTGAAATGAACAATTCACCACACGTAGATTACACTATTCAATATATGAGGAGCAATGAACTCTGTGGCCACAAAGAGCGGAGAAAACAAACAGCCACAAAAACGAAAAGGTCCCTAGGGTGATACAAAACGCAAAGTGGGCCATCAAAAGCTGGTGACAACCATACACTTCTGCCTCTGCTGCCATGGCAACATTAACAGAAGTGTACAGTGTTGTCATCTTGTACAACACATTACGATTTCTATATTAGCCGGAATGAAGAAATAGTCCTTGTTTAGTTTTAAAGCTACTGGGAAGGCTGTCCACTTTACATTACAAGTATTTGTTGTGAATATAATCTATTTCAGAACATCAGATGCCCAAATTACCCCATCGGTGGACTCCTTTCACAGGCTTAAAGCAAATGCCATTTTTTGGACTTTAATAAAACGGCCCAGGGAGGTGATAAAACACATACAGGAATAATGACACAAGGGCTTCAGACTTTAACAACACACTAAAACCTTCAGACCTGAATTAGAGCAATGATGATGTCTTCCCACAACGCTTTTCTTGCTACAAATGAACAGGCCCACTGGAGCCATTCAAAACTTAGAGCCCTACCTGAAAGCAAGGATTTGCTAGAATTTGGTATGAGTCAGAGAATCCTTTCTGATTTTGTTTCATACTATTACTAGGAACCTGATGTCTCTGCTAAGCACTGTCCAACTTTGAGAAATTCAGAGGCCATTATGGACACTTTTGTTGGACAGGGTGCAGAAGGGTGGGCAGGGCTAGGAGCTCAGAAAGATCAGGCCCCCTATAACAAAGTGAAAATAAATCTGAGAGGCCAACAGGTGAAGGTTTTCTAGGTAATATAGAGTACTTTACCTTTATGAACTCAAACAGCCTCCGCTGTGCACCTCTCCGATTTAGCCCCAACTTACTGGGGTCTGACTTCTTCTGATGGCTAAGCTCCACCAACTGCCACCCTCTCTCCAATGAGACTACTTCAAAGGTTGGTAATGGTATTCTGATTGGATAGAGGTAAGCAATAGCTGGGCTTAACCAGAAAGTCAGGGTAAATCAGATCCCAGAACAATATGAAACAAAACAAAAAAAGAGCTTTTCTGGATAAAATTGCAATAGCAATGGTGCATGCCTTTAGGATGGATCTTTACTATTAAGTATGCATACTGGCTGGCAAGTTCACTTTAAAGTATGCCAAGATTAATATTCATGAGGCCTGGCATAAAATTCACAACACACTGCTTCCTAGTGTTCTGCCGTGCTCGGGAATATTGGTTTAGCCCACAAATGACTGCCCATGCTGTGTGCTCCAGCAGCTGATGTCCTTCAAGAGAAGAGCTACATCTGCTCAAGCACAGTCTGTGTCCCATCACATAAAAAGAAGGTGTCACTGCCTGTTGAAAATGCTCTGCATTATTTAGGAAGTCACTTATTCCCTGTACTACTGATTCATGGAGATGACATGCAGCCATCCACACCGTGTTGTATTACAGACTTTACTGGCACAACAAAAAATGTAAAAAAATAAAATACATCATTTGGAAAAACAAAAGTAAAAGAGGGATCAGTCGTGTACTGACGGCAAATCTCCGCTTCATTTAAGGTCGCCATCGCCGTCTCCTTGCATTGATTTCTTGATCCGAAGTAACATGGTGGTCAGCCATTGATCCAAACGAGATATTGAATCAAATTCCTTCACCTGAAGGTAGATAGAGAGAGATATAAAAGGTATTTTCTATCTGATAGGATAAGAAGTTTCATCACTTACAGGATGGCTGTTGTATACAAGTAAACAAATCACACCTCTTCAAGATATCTGAATATTTCTAACCTATGAGCATGGTTATGTCTATTCTTTCATAGGCCTTTCCATTTTCCTAACCAATTTTAAACTCATCAATCTACAGGGATCTCTTAGAAGAAAGCCACAAGCATCAGGAGCCCACCTTCTGATCTCCAAGATCATCAGGGCACCACCTAAGAAGGTAATTTGATGGCAGATCTGAATGTTTTCATTGAATAATGCATCATCCTGCTAGAGCAGTAAAAGGGCCACAAACGACAAACTGTTTTGTGATGCCATTTATTCTCCTTTAATATGCTAATAAGTTTTTGGAGGTAATTAATTACCAACAAGAAAATAACGTCAGAACATTCACATTGAACCTTGCAGGTCAGAGAGAGAGTGGGTAAGAGTCCTCCCAGGGTAAGGTCACAGATTAACACCGTTCTGTGCCAAGACTTCATTTTGGTGAGCACATGCACACAGGATGGGCTACATGGTGGAAACATTTACTTGAGGTCAAACAGTCTTGTCTGAAGACTGCTACGAATGGCCATCATTTTGAGAAGAACCAAGCACTGATGAAATTACATGCTGCAGGTCCTGTCTTTCCTACCACAAACTGCAGTGGTCTATATCACCTCAACTCGCATGTCTACAGGCTGTGTGTCTCTACTGATTTCCTCCCTGTGTGTGCTTTGATACGTGCCCCTCTGTTTTGATCTACTGCATCCCTATTCCCCACCTGCATATCACTACCCTCACTGCTTGTTTCATAATCTTGCAAAACAGCAAAGTTGAAAAAATTGTTTATAATTAGAAAAATGATAATTAAAAATGTTTTTGAAATCTCCTGTTCAAAAGGCTTATAATTTATACACATACATGCATGCATACCTACATACACTGAGTGGCCAGATTATTATGACCACCTGACGTTTGTAGGAAAATTAGCTATAATTTTGCGCTGAAGTTGCTAGAGGGCCAGACCATTATAAATGGGGAAGCAGGTTGTTTACCACGACAGTAGAAGTGATTTTTTTCTGAAGATATGGGGAAACAACACGATTTAACAGCCTTTGAACGTGGGATGATTGTTTGCGTGAGCCATGGAGCGAGTATCAGCAAAACAGCAGAATTCGTTAAATGTTCAAGAGCAGCTGTTGTTAAAGTGTTTAAAGACTGGACTGTCAGCCGAAAATCTGGGTCTGAACGTGCAAATTGTGACCGTCATCGACTAGTCAATGTTAGGGCAGAACGGAGAGTGGCAAGACTGCTACAAGACAACAGAAGGGCAACAGTGCAGTGTCAGATTCCTCGCATCACCTTTCAACATCTCGTGGAGTCATCTCGTGGCCCAACTAAGTACTGATGGGGTGGTCATAATAATCTGGCCACTCAGTGTATAAACACAAAGGAATAGAATGGAAAAGTTAGTCTTGACAGTATTTGAAGATGACTTACAGCTTCAGTGTAGGAATCGCTGTTTTGTTCTTCATGAGCTTCAAGCAGTTTCTGAGAGAGAGAGAGAGAGAGAGAGAGACATATAACAGAACAGATATTTAAATGTCCCAGCAACCTTACCCATAACACACAGCAGACATCTCCAACCCCAATACAACAATCTTTGTTCTTGACACAAAAACAGCACCTATATATAGACACACTGACCTTTAACAGCTTGCACTCCCTGGAATCTGAGAATGCAGGAAACATTTCTTCATATTTCTCTACTGCAAGCTGGAAAATAGGACAGAAGAGTAGTAAGCATCCTTTGAAACCAAAACAGAAGAGGAATGGAGAACACCATTTAAGTGATTAAAAAAAAACAACTAACCTTAATATGACACATTCTATTGGCACCCTTACTACTGATTGACCTTTGATATGCAGCATCTTAGCCTATCTTACCATAGCAGTGCCCCCCAGCCAGTGACTCAGGTATGTTTCCTTGTTCCCCTTTCCTATTGTGTCTCTAGATAGTACAGTCACTAGCAAGACACTGTCTGCCTCTTACTCAACTGCCCAATTTAGTTTCCCTTTCCAAGCAGAGACAGGGCATTGGAAAAGTAAGCCGGCCATACACTGAAAAATGTGTGGCCAACTTTTTCGTCTTATTACACTTCAAAACACTGAAAGAAAACATTTTCTGTAGTGCACGTATCTGAAGTAAAGCTATGTTGTATTCAACATCTGTGTCTTACTGAACAGAAGCTGTCTGTGGATTCTGGCAATACGTAACATAGGAAAGAATGTCACACGTTACAATGAAAACTTTACAATGAACGTTACAATGCAAATCAGGGAACAGGAAGAAAACTTTACAGAATGCTTTATACCTGAAAAGTTAACAGTAGCTAACTGCTACATATAATGTATGTTATGGGTTCCAACGTTTATCACAAGGGGCAAATAGTCATTCCCAGTCCTGTCTCTAAACTGACACATTTATTTGGAACTGTTATGTTAGCTCTGGAGCTGGGAGACAGCAAGTGTTATCAGGATGAGGTCAACCAGTAGATAGGGGAACAGCAATGAGAGCTAAGTGGGAAAACTGTCGTACCAGAATTGGCCTCAAACGAAATCAGCAAAGAAAAATAATGGAAAGAATGTAAATATATCGATTGAAAGTAGGATGTAAACGCAAACTGGATCACAGTTTAGTTTGCTAAAGCACTGTGTATCAAATAGATATGTGCGAAACAAAATTTTGGAAATTCGGATGTATCCGAATTCCGAAATACAGCTAAAACTAATGCAAACGAATCCAAATTCCCGATTTCCCGAAAATTCGTTAGCGCTAGTCCGGTCGCAATTTCGTTTTTTGGACGAAATTTTGTTGAAGCAAAATGACATTAGAAAAAAAAAATTACATTTTTTTTTGTCTGCAGAAGATGAAATAAAAAAGCAAAAAGCGTGAGGTTCCCCCCCAACTCATACCAGACCCTTTAGGGTCATTCAGCAATGAGCACAGGAAGTTATCAGCTCAAAAGATTTCTGGCAGGACCAACAAGTATTTTTGCAGTTATTGAACAGATACAACAAAATTCTTTCAATGGCATATTTAACAGACCAAAGGAAGCAAATGAGAGAATTGTATTGTTAGGGTTTACATGCACTTTATTATAGGGGTGGAAAAAAAAAAAAACAGATTTGCATGTGGCAACCTGTACATGAACCATTGCACTTCTTTTACAGACAATGACCTCTGCAGAGCCTACACTTCCACACAGGAAATATACGTTACCTTGGCGTTCAGTTCATCCACAATGAAGTGGCAGAGAGCAGCTTTGAAGAAATATTCTTTTGCACTATACTTCAGCAGAGGATTATCCATGGTGCTTGTACCAATCTAGAAGAGATTAGATTGTGGATTTATGAAGAGACCACCCAGATGTAGAAATAAAGACAGATTAGAGAACCGTTACAAGAATGAAATCTTTCTACTTCTGAACACATTAGCTTTTCTTTCCAATTAGGAAAATGATTAAAAGCCAATTCCAGATCTTATTTTCCCAGATCTCAGCTTATTTCAGTTATCTTCATATTTCCAGTTTTCAGAAAATCAAATTGTCTTTTTCTTGCCTTATTATTTGAATGATCTGGAAGTTCTACGTAAATACTGTACAAATGTGGTACAAACCTTCATTCAGTCTTCTGACACAATGACACAAACCCCTTTAAGATAAATGCATTTCAGATTCCTTGTAGCATGCCACATATATGTACCACTGCTCAACAGCCCCCCCCAGCAACATTGCCGATTGGAGCACCATACAGGAGGCAGGTCTGATCCCCTGCGCCCTGTGTTGAGCAGTGTTCTGGATCTCCAGCATGCTGCAGAAGGGGAATTTCAGCGAACATTCCTGGACACTAGTTAATTCATTTTGACTATTTCTTACTGCATTGCAGTAAGAGATAGTCAAGGTTCAACTGGGGTTTGAAGCCCTGAGCACCCCTTTCCACAAGAGCAACACATACATTATTAACATGAGCATAGAAAGGATTTATCAAGACTGGAGCACACAGAATCTGGAGCAGTTGCTGATAACAACCAATCAGCTTCTCTCTTCAGTTCATATTTGAAAAATAAGATGATTGGTTACCATGGACAGCTGCTCCAGATTCTGCCTGCTCCAGTTTTGATGAATTTCCCTCACATTATGGGAGCAGTCACCAATGGGCTGTATTTAGAGGTACATGCTGCAGGGTCATCATGATTCTGAGATCACTGCATAAGGTCACCGATTTAAAACAAATACGTGAGGTCAGACATTTTGCACTGCACTGGCTGTAGGAATGTTGCAGATCAGTAACACAGAATCATGGTTACAGCCTTGGAGTCTGCACCTTTAAAGAGTATAGATGGGACACCGGCACTCCCAATGATGTATAGTGCATCTTTTATTGACGTAAGTGCAGCATATCACATAAGTGCAACGTTTCCCGGTCACACAGGATCCCCTTCCTCAGGTAAGACAATCACATGTCTTGCCTGAGGAAGAGGATCCTGCGTGACCCCGAAATGTTGCACTTATGTGATATGCTGCACTTACGTAAATAAAAGACGCACTTTTCATCATTTAGAGTGCCGGTGTCCCATCTATACTTCGTGAACATGACCGTGTCATCTGTCGGCCACCGCAGCACCCACCAGTTGCTTTTGGATTAATCGGTCAGGAGTTTGATGGTTCATGGACTTCTACACCCTTAAAGAGACACTGCCACCTTGTTCTGCAGTACAAAGTGACAGTGTTTCTGCAAAGGGACCCCCTCCCCTGACCCCCTTATACTAGGCCTTGCATGCACTCAGTAGCCTCTCCTTCTTCCATCACAACAGGCATAGAAGTCACTGGTGCTGGTGAGCAGGGGGAGGATGATCTTAATACCTCGGCCATGTGACAGTGCTCAGACCTAGTGATTTGCTGCTGGGCCCGGGGACTGTCAAAGGGTAGGAAGTCACATGCTCCCTCATACCCAGAAACTCTGGGCAGGGTTGCCCAGCTGTACTAGAGGAAGGAGTAGTAGAAGAGCACTAGTAAGGTGAATATAAGGGGTCAGGGGGACCCTTGCAGAGACATGGTCACGTTGCCCTGCACAGACTAAGTGGCAGTGTCTCTAAAGGCAAGCCAGTAATACTATCTTCCATGTATCTGACCTCAATGGTTAACCTTAATAATATTACGTTTATTAGGCTGAAATTCTCTGCCCATTCAGTGAATGTCGCAATCACATGACAGAGTAAAACATTTTCATCTTAGCTAAATAGTAAAAGGAGAACACAATGTCAGCACAACACAGGCACTCTTTACCTGTTCATAGATTTCTATTGCCTTTTGGTACTGTTCCAGTTGTGCAGTATATGCGGCCACCTTCAGCAGACACTTATTGGCAGAGCTGAAATTACAAATAAAAGCTCAAAATTACTTCTTGGCCCATCTTACCTCAAACCTTTGAGTGCAAATATACCACCCTACCTGTTTGATTCTTCCCCCTTATAGTAATCTGCTGACTGTTCATAGTGTGCAATTGCCTGAAAAAGAAGAGGCAAAATGACACGGAAACTGAACAGTAGAATGTTTTGACTCTTGTCTGCTTATGTTTAATTAAAAAACTACATTCAAATTATTATTTAAAGCAAAGATGTGATCAGTGGGTTCAATTAACGTTTTCTTTAAGAAGTGACATAATCTGTACAATTGCAACAAAAACCATGTTAGAATGTAATGTTAAGTTCACTTTCAATGTCAATATGCCGCCAGCTATGTTTTTTTTCCGTTCAAAATGGTTTTTATTTGTTTTGGTTGTGGTCAGAAAAATATTATACTATTACATTCATCGTCAAATCCAACGGTACATCAAACAGTGGATAGAATATCAAAAAGCTCCTGCAACAGTACAAAAAACAGTCTAGCAGAGTATTTGGTATAAAATAGAATAAAGCAAGATACAATAGTATAAAATAGTAACTGGTTAGCAGCATAGCCGCCAGCTATGTTTTATTTAAACTGCCAAGAAAAACGATTTTGCTTCTGTGTGTAGAATGTCCATATTGAATATTTTTCATGTGATCGGCTGATTGTTTTTACCAGCAACCTTTGCAGAATCTTATATACTTTTTTAGACACCTCTAGAAATGCCCTGTGTTTATTGTAGTGATCCTTTCATCTTAGGTGATAAACTGGGATGTGCCTATGGGTGGTTGGAAACAAGCAAATTTATATTTCAGACACTTCACACACACTTAAAGGCTCCTATTTTTTTTACATCCCCCCCCCCCCCCCCCACGCTTATTAAAGTACTTACCTTATGTGATGCCTCTTGTTCCAAAAATCTTCTTCCTTCCACTCGTTTCCAACAGTCCCTCCAGTGCGAGCACTGGTGCTGCTCTCTGATTAATTTATTTGGACCTCTCAAGCAATCAGAAATTACAGTTATCCAGCATCTACCAATCCCCATGGGTACTGGATAACTGGGAGTACAACTAGATGAAATTGTATTTTTACCTTTTCAATATCAACAAGTTCGGTCTCATAAATTTCCGCAATTGTAATATGATGCTTAGCAGCAATTGTAAACCTTCCCTGTAACAGATGAAACAAACGTTCATGTCACCAATCTGAATGAATACACACTACTGCAGAAAAACAGAAGACACTGTACATAGGCAGGAACTTTAAAACAAATTATAACCAGAGTTTTTGTTGCTAGAAGGAGATTTTAAAATGTGATTTTACACTCTAAAGTTTATGCCTGAGCAGAAAACAAAAGTGCAGTAACCTCTACAATAAAAGGCACATTTTCCCATGTTCAATGGTGTATTTTGGTTTTGTGCTGCCCCCCCAATCTAAATTTCCCTGCCCTTTCCTGTTTAGGACCCGTCTCACTGGTTTGGGGATGGAGTTTTTTAGGGATGCATTTTTTTCAAGGCCGAGTACAAGTGCCGATACTTTTTCTTAATTACTTGCCGATACCAATTGCCAATACCTTTTTTTTTAAAGTCATGTGACAATTTTTTAAAAACAATACAGTCTAATAATTTTAGGACAGTGGTGGGACTACAAACTCCAGAAAATACATTATCACCAGGGCTGTGCGGGGTCTCACCATGACAGTGCGGGGTCTATGGTGGGCTTTGCGTGGTCTATGGTGGGCTGTGCAAGGTCTATGGTGGGCTGTGCTGGTTCTATAGTGAGATGTGAAATGTCTATGGTGGGCTGTGCGGGATCTATGGTGGGCTGTGCGGGGTCCATTTCTCTGCACACATGTGCTACTCAGGTCAGATCAGCTATTTGCACACTCCTGTGTATCCTCCATATCTGGGTCCCCTCCTCCCTCTTACACATCGGTAGAGCTCCAGCAGAAGCCGCACCACCTCGCAGTGCCCATTGAGAGCAACAATGATGAGTGGAGTGGAGCACGCTGACAGCTCCTCCAGAGCCATTCCCGGGGCAACGGCTGCTGGAAGATACTGGTTAGATACCCACTTCTTGTCAGCTCTCCCGGAAATAGCAAACAGCACTAGAGTACCAGGTGGACCTCAACTAACCTAAGGCTCCCCTCCTCCACCAAGCAGCTCTCTAATTTGGTGGTCGCCTAATTTGCCTCTAGGCCAGTCCGGCCCTGTCTGCCTCACTGGTTTGGGGACCCCCCGAAAGTGCCGCCCACGGCAAACGTCTAGTTTGCCTCGTGGTAGATATGCCCATGATTCATCCATAAAAACACTGCAAGTACAGAAAAATACCTGTTGATCCCATGAGAAATCCATTGTGCTCCCAACATCATGTATTAGCCGACAACACAATACCTCTACTGTCCTGTTATCCCAAGCAGTGTTAGAAGCCTTGCCCGCTTCTCTTCTGCTGGACTACAGAACAACTGCCCTTTATGCTATGGAGAGGAGGAGAGGGGAGGAGAAAAGAAGTGAGCAGGACTGACAATGCTGCCTGGGATTTTCGTGCAGCAAAGACATTTTGTGGCCAGCTGAAGCACGATGTTCATTCACTGGATTGTTGGCAGACCAACAGGTTTTATCTGTACCTGCAGTGTTTTTAAAGAGACAAACCATGGAGAAATGTGCATGTATTGCATAGATGTACTATTTTTTTTTCCAAATATACATTTTAAAGCTCATTTGTGAGCTCTGTAGCTCTTGTCCCCAAAGCATGAGCATAAAGGGAACCTGTCATGAAAGAAACACAAAGGTTTCCATCCCTGACCTTTCCATCTGAAAAATTGATACCTGCTTTACTCTAAAGCTGCCTCTCTTGATTTAATACGGAGTCTGTGACCCTGAACAGATAAGCAGAAAAGAACATCTCACTCTTCTCTTCTGGGTGATCAGTGACTCAGAGTATTGAAGCCAGGGGATCAGCATAAGAGCCAGCAGCATTTTCTGGAGGATCACCAATGCTAGCCCCTGCAGCTTTTATGACAGAAGTACTAATCAAGCCGCACGTGTGTTACACTGTTTTATAAGAATAATCAGCTCTCTAGTGAGTAATCACTTCTTACCATATCAGTGTAAATATCGATGGCTGCATTTAAGCAGTTGATGGCCTCTAGGGTTAGCAGTTTGGGAAAGACAATGAAAAGCATCTTAACCATACAGAATCAGAAAACAACAGTTCAGTACATGACAATGCAGTGGAGAATAAAAATACAAGCGAGGGGGAAAAAGGCACCATAAAGAGGGCCACACATGCTGTGATACATGCAGTCAGTATATGGCATTACTATGAGCATTGCTCCAAAGGAGGAACAGTATGGATGCAATGGGACATTTTGTGTTGATCAGTCAATGTTGTGACAGACAGACATGATTTCAACGCCATGTCCAGCAGAAAACCTACCTAGCGGATCAGCCTTCTTGAAGGCGTTCCCAGCATCTACGAAACTTGTAGCTGCATCGTGTTTGCTCTGCAGTTGCATGTGTAGCTTGGCAGCCTGACAAAACGCATTTCCTGCAGCTACAAAACAGATGACAGTAGAAATGTTAGGGTACAAAGATAAAAAAGGTATTTCAATCAATAATTATCACCTTTATTACATCACAGCCATGGGTAGTGAAACAAAAATGGAGTTATGCCAGTAATTAAAAAGTGACACTACACTACACCCTAATTGTTAACATAAATGTATCTTTATTTGTAGAGATGCACCGAAATGGAAATTTTAAAACCTAAACGAAACCGAAATAAAAAAAATTGTCAGGACGAAACCGAAATTTTTTTTTAATTTAAATTGTTTTTCACTTTTTTTAATATTTTATTTTTATAAACTTTTTAATATTTATTTGTATTTATTAATTCATTTTTTTATTAACCCCTTCATGACTGAGGCCTTTTTTTCATTATACTTTACCTTTAGGGGCTTGGAGGAAATATTAGGGGTCTAAACAGACCCCTGATATTTCCCTTTTAAAATAGAAAAAGAGATTGAGGACAAAAAAGTCCTCTTATCTCTTTTTCTGTATACCCTCTTATCAATGAACAGAACTCCTCTATACCAGGGGTGTCCAAACTCCGGCCCTTCAGCTGTGGTGGAACTACAAATCCCATGAGGCATTGAAAGATTCTCACAGCTAAAGACATGACTCCCGGAGAGAGATGCATCATAGGATTTGTAGTTTCACCAGAGCTGGAGGGCCGGAGTTTGGACATCCCTGCTCTATACTGAGTGTTCCTGTTCATTGATAACATGAGAACATGGTATGTTTACTATAACTACAACTATGAATGAACAGGAGGTGATGTAGATCTCGCCCATTCATTCATAATTGAGGATACGGTACACATACCATGTCCTCTATCTACAAACACTCAGCGATCACTGATTGCTGAGTGTTTGTACTCTCTCTCCTCTCTGACACGCTGTCACAGGAGGCTGAGCGAGCGGGTGCAGGGAGGAGAGCTCAGACTCCTGTGACAGTGCGGCCTGTCTGCGCCCACACACCGATGTGATAGGAGGCTGAGCGGTGTGGGAGGAGACGCCAGCCGCTCACAACGCTCTCACAGTTTCTCTCCTCCCCGCTGGGACACAGAGCAGCACCCTGCAGGGAGGAAAGAAAGCAGGGATGCACCGATGTATCGGCAGGAAAATGGCACTTTCAGCATTATGCCAAAATTGCAATTTTCGGCCGATATATCGGTGCATCCCTACTCATTTGTGTATTACTTGGCTGTTGATCCTCAAATCATCTCTGAATTCATGCTGACACTGTGCTTCCTTCTGGAGGGTGACTACTTTTGTTCCCTATGGTCCCTGTGTGTGTTGTAAAGTATCCACCACTCCAAGCTCACTCCTGTGATGGGCTACAAGTTCACATTTAGTTGACCAATTTGTACTGAGATTGTAGTCCATCACAGGAGTGAGCTTGGAGTGGCGACTACTTTACAAACACACACAGGGATCATGGGAAACAAAAGTAGCCCCCTTCCAGAAGGAAGGAGAGTGTCAGCACCAATTTAGAGATGATTTGAGGATCTACAGCCGAGTGATACACAAATAAGATAGATTTTTGGTAATAGTGAAGGTACTTGAATGCATTTTTAAGATTACCTCCTGAGTTTATTGTCACTTTAAGACACTTTATCCAATGCTCTACATCTTATTCATTAAAGGCAACAATCTGACACTTACCTTTCCAGTTCTTCGCCATCTTGAACATGTTGGCAGCTCTGGCATACATCTCACAGGCTTCTTCAATTTTTGTGTTTCCTCTAATTCAAGGGAAAAAAAATAAGAAATGTTGTTTCTGCTATTCAAGTTTTATATACATATATAAAATGTATGTAGTGAGTAGGGATGTCCCGATACAGGGCATTTTGACAAGTACTTGTAGTATATGTACTACATATACAGTATATACTGCTAATAGAGTGCAGACAATACATAATAACATGAATGGATTAAATGATCTGTATGTAGCCCTGTACTATGCAGTGGAGAATTGTATATCTATATGTACTGTACATATACAGCACACATGAGAGAATATCTAACGATTTCCAGTTTAAGGATACAAGCTCCAGATTATTTTAGTATATGAAATCACATTCAAATGTCTGTGTCTTGTGTTGTTTATTCATGAAGTAGCTAGTCCAAGTTAAAAGAAGAACAATGGGGTACACCTATTTTTGCATTTTGTAGTTTCCTTATGATACAGGAGTACATTTTGCACCATGAAAATGCACCATACGCTTACAATTTAGTGTGTCATACCGTGGGCAAGGGTGAAATCTGTGCTGAGAAGTGATCCCGACAATACCGTCTGGATCAGCAGCCTGTAGAAGTCACTGCGTGTTCATGAGGACCTGTGTAGATGCTCAGGGCACATCCTATCAGAGTTTATTCAGGTCAGGTCGCAGGTCTACAAACACTTGCACTTCCATCCTGTAGTTTGTCTTTCGTTCCCCTCCCCTTTCGCCTCCACACTGCTGTCTCCAGACAATACACATACCACATCGGCAGTTCAGCCCGCCCTCCTCCCTTCTGCTTTCTTGGGACATACACAGGGAGAAGAAGAGATGAAGACAACAGAGTGGAAGGGGGGGCAAGGATAAAGCCGGAGTGACAGGTCATAGTGCCGATGTGGTATGTGTGTTGTAGGGATGCACCGATACTAGTATCGGTATCAGTGCCAATACCGAGTATTTGGACGAGTACTTGTACTCATGCAAATGCTCCGATACCTTCCCCGACACCGGAACTTCCGTTCAGAGGAAGATGTTCCCATAGGGGAACATGGAGCCAGCTTCCCGTGCGATCAGGAAGCTGGGCGGCAAATAATGACCCGCCTCCAGGCTTACTGATTCCAGCCAATCAGCATGGAGCTGGCTTCCTGGCCAATCAGGAAGCCGGGAGGCGGGTCATTACTCGCCGCCCAGCTTCCTGATTGGCCGGGATGTCCGCTGCATGCTGACTGACTGGGAAGCCAGTTTCCCGGCCAATCAAAATCAAGCTGGCCAAACAACATGGAGCCGGCTTCCTGGGAAATCAGGAAGCTGGGCGGCATGTCATTACCCGCCACCCGGCTTCCTGATAGCCCTGGAAGCCGCCTCCATGCCAGCGGAAGCCCCCGGTTTTGGTACTCGGTATCGGCGAGTATCAAAAGCAAAATTTCAGTACTTGTACTCGATACCGAAAAAAATCCCTAGTGTATTGTCCGGAGAAAGCAGAAAGACAAACTACAGGATGGATGTGCAAATGTTAACTCTGATAGGATGTGCTCTGAGCTGTTGCGCTCTACAGCTTCTCATGAAAGCACAGCAGCCCCTACAAGCTGCTGTCACTCAATGGAAGAGGATCCCAACAATATTGTCAGGATAGCTTTTTAGCCCACAGTATATTAAACTGAATTGTAAGCTTCTTGATAAAGCAAAGCGTGAAATGTACCTTTTTAGAAAGGCTGGCTTCCTGAGATTTGTAGCCCTGTGCAAAGTATCAAATTATAGAACGGGATGGATAAAGCATTTCACGTACGGCTCTACAATGTATGGAAGTGACTGAAGATGGATTTAACTTGGGAATCCTTTATAATGTATTTATGTTTCCAGTGCTGGTTAAGAACCGAAAACAGAATATGATTGTTGGATGAGCAACACACATTTTTCGCTTGAAATTCTTCATGAATGCCAAAAGCAGTCCTTTCATGTTTTCCAAAAACACTCCTCAGTGCCACGCTCTGAGCCTCTT